TGGCCTCCCTCTCCTTTCTGTCCCAAGAATGCATACCCTCTGCTCTCCTAGCAATGCTCACCACCTGCTGATAAGAAATATCCATCTCCAGCTCCCGAGCCAAGACCTGATGCTGGGAATGAGCCCCTCAATAAACCGGCGAATCTTCTCGCGAACAGTAGAAACCAATGCTGGTGCATGTCTAGCCAAGTTAGTGAAACGGACAACATACTCTGAGACAGTCATAGTACCCTGGCGCAAATGCTCAAACTCTGCGCCATGCGTCCCTAAGGCTCTAAGGAACATACTCTCTCAGGAACATATCTGAAAACTCAGTCCAAGTCAGGGAAGCTGCCTCGTCGGGGCTGTCTAACTCATAAGCACGCCACCATTGATAGGCGGCTCCTCGAAGCTGGAAGGTAGTGAAGGAAACCCCGCTCTATCCTGCTATACCCATGGTACGGAGGATACGGTAGCACTCCTCTAGAAATCCCAGAGCATCATCTGATGCTAGTCCACTGAATGTAGGAGGATGATACTTCTTGAACCTCTCAAGCCTCTTCTGCTCCTCCTCTGAAGCTACTGCCCTCTCCTCGGGTTGAGCTGGGGCTACAGGTTGTGCCGGTATAATCTCTGGGACCTTCTCAACATGCACTCGCTTCTCAGGAGTGCGGGCGGCGGGAGTCTGTGCTCCTCCCCCAGCCTGGGATGTGGCTGCAGCAAGGGGAAGCAACCCTGCCTGAGCTAGAGTGGTGTACATACTCATAAACTGCGCAAGACTCTCCTGGAGAGCTGGAGTAGTAGTAGCAGTAGGCGTGTCAGGCGCCTGGGCTCCAGCTGGAACTTCTGGTGGCTCCTCGGTAGCAGCTCGCGCGGGTGCTCTGGCTGCATCACGTGCGCGTCCTCGGTCTCTACCCCGGCCCCGACCTCTAACAGCTCTCGCAGGGGGCGCGGGTGTCTGGTCACCTCCAGTAGCACGTGTCCTCACCATCTATGAGAGAATAGAAGAGAGAAGTTCAGAATATCGATATCAAAAATCTCGCACGACAAGGAATTCAAATGAAGTGAAATTTTCTTAACAGTTACACAACCTCTCGTGGATAAGCACAGACGTCTCCGTACCGATCCACGAGATTCTAATAAACCGGCTTGTGATTCTTGACTCCTATGAACCTAGAGCTCTGATACCAACTTGTCACGACCCAAGTTCGCCCTCCTTGAACGTGTCGTGATGGCACCTAGTCTCTACGACTAGGTAAGCCTAACAATTTGCGGAAAGGAAACAAAATGCGAAAAAACTAATAAAACTGAAGAATAACAATATAGAAGCGTTTAAGATGCCGTTCGGCATAAACCAATACACTATCTCAAAAACTGAACAACTCCCAAAACCCGAAAACTCACGAATCACAAGCTATGAATACTAAATAGTGTTCTAACTCCGGAATGTATAAATCAAAGAAATACAGAAGGGCTATAACTACAAGAGAGAATGGGGAGGGAATCCTCGGTCTGCGGACGCGGAAGATTTACCTCGAAGTCTCTGAAGAATCGCCTCGCCTCAAGGATAGTAGGGCCGAGTCGAAGAACCTGGATCTGCACACGAAAAACATGTGCAGGAAAAGGCATGAGTACACCACGGCAGTACCCAATAAGTGCCAAGCCTAACCTCGATCGACTAGTGACGAGGAAGGTCAGGGCCCTACCGGTCATATACATATACATAAGGAAAACGAAACAGTATGAAGTAACACAGTATAATAATAAGAATAACAACAATTACAACAGAGAGAGAGCATCACATAAAGAATACAGCTCAACACAGAGATAGCAACCGGGGATCTACCAGGATACCGTCCTGTAGTCCCCAAATAAAAATATTCGGTGGATCTCCCGGGTGTCGTCCCGTAGTCCAACTCATAGTGCGCGGGGATCTGCCGGAATTCCGATCCCTAGTCCCAAATGTAAATACCCAGTACTGGGTAAATCTACTGGGTGCAGTCCCGTAGTTCCATATAACTGTGTAGGGGGATCTACCGGAATATCAATCCGTAGTCCCAAATAAACAGGCAAGGGGGATCTACCGGGAAATCGCCCGTAGTCCCAAATTAAACACACAGCAACAACACGAATAATATTCAATTCAATCCAATTTCATACCAAGGTAAACATGTATTTCTAATCTAGCATGCTGCACAGAATTCAGATAAAGCAGTTTGAGCAACTAAAACAATTGAATCATTTAGACATGCTTTCCTAAGCTAACAGTAGGCTTAAATTTCAAGTAGTGTAAACAAGGAAGAAATACACGATTATAGTTATTTAATGAAAACCGAATTTTCAACAATTAGCATATGTACGCACTCGTCACCTCACGTACAAGGCATTTCATATATCCACAATACCAGATTCTAAAGGGAGTTCCCCCGCACATGGTTAGGCAAGCCACTTACCTCGAACCAGCTCAATCAACTCGATACCACGTTCTTGCCACGAGTACCCGACTCCAAATGGCTCAAATCTATTCAAAGTAATTGCATAATGTTAATATAACTTCAAGTAACTAATTCAACTAATTAATTCGAAGCTACTACGCAAAATTAGGAAAATTGCCCAAAAAATCCTCTCCGGGCCCACGTCTCGGAATCGGGTAAAATTTACAAATTCAGAATCCTCACACTCTCACGAGTTCATACATACCGAAATTATTCCAATCCGACATCAAAATCTTGATCAAAACCCCAAAATTAGGCCTAAGGACTTTTCCAAATTTTCTCCAAATTTCCACCCCAAATTCGAATTTAAAGGATGGAATTAAGTATAGATTCGTGGAAATTAATCAAAACCGAGTAAGAATTACTTACCCAAAACACCAGGTGAAAATCTCTCCAAAAATCGCCAATCCCCGAGCTCCCAAGTCAATTTCCAAGGTTTTGAGTTCTAACCCTTGATTTTGCCCTTTTTCTGACCAGCGAATCCGCTTCTGCGGCCATGGGACCTGTGGTCCCGCTTCTGCGACAAACGGACCGCACCTGCGACTTTTCATTAAAGTCCAGCTTCCGCACCTGCGACCTCTTGTCCGCAGATGCGATGCCGCTTCTGCGATAACTGGGCCGCATCTGCGACCAACCCCAAATCGCCTCAGACCGCACCTGCGGTCCTCCAACCGCTTCTGCGGTGCCGCACCTGTGGTCGCATACACGCAGGTGCGGTTATGACAGGTTCAGCCAACTTCAGATTTCTCCTAAGTCCAATTCAACTTCCGTTAAGCACCCGAAACTCACCCAAGGGTCCCGGGACCACAACCAAACATGCCAACCAGTCCTAAAACATCATACGAACTTATTCCAATCCTCGAATCACATCAAACAACGCTAAAACCACAAATCACTCTCCAATCCAAGCCTAAGGATTTCCAAGACTTCAAATTTCCGCTTTCGATCAAAAAGCCTATCAAACCTAGTCCAAATTACCTGAAATTTTGCACGCACGTCCAAAATGACACAACGGACCTGCTCCAACTTTCGGAATTCCATTCCGACCCCAATATCAAAATCTCACTATCGAACCGGAAACTTCAAAAATTCAACTTTTGGCATTTCAAGCCTAATTAAGCTACGGACCTCCAAAACACAATCCGAACACGCCCCTAATCCCGAAATCACCCAACGGAGCTAACGGAACCAACGGAATTCCATTCCGAGGCCATCTTCACACTGCTCCGACTATGGTCCAAATTCTAAAGCTTAAACTCTCATTTAGGGACTAAGTGTCCCAAAACACTCCGAAACACCAAACGGATCCTCCCGGCAACTCACAATAGCAGAAATAAGCATGGGAAAAGCAGTTAATAGGGGATCGGGGCGTTAATTCTTAAAACGACCGGTCAGGTCGTTACAGTCCCACGTTACAAAACACAAGATATCCTTAGGTTGTGGCTTCTGAAATAGTAAAGGGTAAAATAGTCAAGGAGTTAAAGCTTTTACTAAAAAGCTTTATCAGCCAATGAAATTGTTCAATAGTACATGAAGGCCACGTTGCGTCCATATCAGAATTAAGTGTCAAATTAGCTGAACGAAATAATAAACTACCCTCAAGTTACTTTCTTATTTCAGCAATCATACACGACGACGAAGAGGAACTTCGATTAATATAGTAGAAATTATGGATAAACAACTCTATTAGTCAATAATATTCTTGGCAAGAACTAAGCAAATGGACAAACTTATTATTTATTAAATTATTATTATGTGAGAATTTTTCTCTGCAATACCTGCTAATGACGCCTAAAAATTCTCAATATAGGACATAAAACTCAATACGAAACCTAAATAATAATATGCTAAGTCAATTTTAAGAACCATCAGCATACAATATATCAAAGTCAAAAATATATATGAGCTTAATAAATGTTGAATTGTGAAAATGAAAGAAAAAGTAGATTGAAGTATTTAAATAACTCTAAAAAAGTGTCATTCATTTAGATTAAGTATTTAAATAAGCAAAATGGATCATTCATCAGAATAATCATATTAAAGATTACATTACAAGTAAGGATCATGAATATATACGGAGTAAATTTTTAACGAAAAAATCACATAATTTTTGTGAATTGTCTATGAGAAAATATATATTTAAAATCCAGCTCACTGAAATTTTTCTTATTCAAACTAAAATCAAGTCCAAAATAAAAAACAAAAACCAAACCAGACACATGTCAATTTCTTATTTCATTTGATATTTCGATTCAAGAAAAAAAAAAAAGAAATATAGGGATTGCCGCCTCAGTAAATTACTCTGTTCTCGTCACCACCATGGGTAGGAAAAATGCACTTGATAGGAAATTAAGAGGAAAACAGGAAATATAATGTCCGAAAATCCCAGAGTGCCTACGTACTGCATGTGTAAAATTAGCTCACCATTCTCCCTCATGGCGCGTGGGCTCACTCCCACTTGAATCTGAACAATGTTAGTCTATCGGATTCAACTATTGGAACCGACAATTACCTTTCACATTGGAGTTACTACAAGCTTATAATGTTTCATTTTGTGGCTCTTCAAGTATGAGTACTCTCTATTTCTCCATTGGTTATACTCATGGTACCATCACATTATACGTATATTCATTACATATATAACTGCATAAATAATCAAAAACTCCAATCTTATCTCCACATTTGTTGCTTATAAATAGGGAGATAAGCCATAAACATAAAGGGAAAAAGAGCACCATATGGTTGGAAAAATGAGAGATAGCTCAGCTTCACCAAATGGTTCATTTACTAGTGCCATGACACTAAATGAAGAGGGGCTAACCTATGTTCCCAACCGTTACATTCTTCCCCCATCCTTACGCCCCGAGCGAACCCTGTGTGACACATGCTTGCCCGTTGTGGATCTATCCTTTCTGCGACACCCTCTTCTTCGGCCTCAGATAATCCAGGAAGTACACCTGGCTTGCAAGGAACTAGGTTTCTTCCAGGTACCGTACTTGTCGTGTTACGTCCATGTCACCTGCAATCACGCACTAGAATAAGACTATTTATTTACTTCAGTATACATAAAGTTCCTCAAGATAGGATCCATTGAATAATATGCACACACCAAGTAAAATGATGTCAGATCATCCGCATATAGAAAAAGCATTTGGAAATCAAAAGCAGAAAGAACTTCATGTCACACACATGGTAGGGTTCTAGGCTTCATCTCCTCTGTCTTCTCTCTTCCCTTTATTTTCAAATTTGTTAAAACAAATGTCCAAGAATTCAGCTACTTAGGTTGTCTAACAGGAAGAAAAAACTTTCAACCTGAGCGTAAAATAACAACATGCATGTGATAAATGACTTTGCAGGTAGTTAACCATGGAATCCCACTGTCAGTCATGAAAGATGCCATAGATGCTGCGAGCGAATTCTTCGATTTACCAACTGAAGAGAAAAAGCATCTCTTGTCTTCAAATGTTCATGAACCCATAAGATATGGTACTAGTCTAAATCATGTCAAAGACAAAGTTCACTTTTGGAGAGACTTCCTCAAGCACTACGCTAATCCAATCTCAACTTGGATTGATTTGTGGCCATCAAACCCCACATGTTACAAGTAAGTCTCTCATTTTCCTTTCAATATGCTTTTGCTATCTTATAGATGCATATTCTTACTGTTCAAGAACGATATAATTTTTTCAAGTGCCTAAAGCAGTTTATCATGCAGGGAGAAAATGGGGAATTACACGAAGGCAGCACAAAAGTTGCAAGAAGAACTCATGGAAGTGGTATTTGAGAGCTTAGGACTAAACCCTAGTTACTTACATGAAGACATTGCAGAAGGCTCTCAGGTCATGGCCGTTAATTGCTATCCAGCATGTCCTGAGCCAGATCTTACACTAGGATTGCCACCACACACAGATTATGGTATGCTATCCATCATTCTACAAAATTATCAGGGCTTGCAAATCATGGACCGAGATGAAAAGTGGCATGCAGTTCCAGTCATCGAAGGAGCTCTCGTTGTTCAGCTGGGAGATCACATGGAAGTATTGAGCAATGGCAGATACAAAAGCGTTCTCCACCGAGCAGCAGTTAACTCAGAAAAAAAGCGCATTTCAATTGCCAGCCTCCATAGTCTAGCTTTAGGTAAAACAGTTAGACCTGCACCAGACCTTGTCAACGAACAACATATCTTGTCTTACAAAGAAGGAAGCTTTAGTGATTTCCTTGACTTCATTTCTCAAGAAAATATCATCGAAGGAAAGTACATAGACAAACTAAAAATAAACTCATGATGATTATGGTCCCTGAGAGAGCATATGTGAAATCTCTTCTTCACACTCAAACTCCATGCTGCACAACCTCTGTGTTTGTACTTGTTTAAATGCACAAGCAAATAATAAGTAGCTATTTTTCCTATGAGTCAGTCTAATATTAATGGTAAGAGGCTCTTCATTCTTCACGTAAGAGACCTCACTGTGACAAATAAATTATGGGACGAAGTTTACCAGTCTATTTATTTTTAAGTAGGATTCTCATAGTGACCATGTATGATTTGAGAACCCATAATTTGTTAACAAAGTACAAATGCACCATCAGGATCTTCATTGCGCAAATGCTTTACCTCGGTTGGCTAACACCACAGACTTCAGCAGATAGATGTTACAAACTGGAAACAAAAAAAATATTTTTCAAATTGCAGAATTATACATTCACCACATTTAAGACATTAAAGTTGTATAGGTAATCCAGTTTGAGCCTAATGTAGACCAAAAACATTTCAGCAATCAAGCCACTTTGATCTCTGGTACACGTGCTTGTTGAGAGCACATACTCCCGAACAAGGTAGATCTTGACGGTAAATTTACAAGGAGAATTAGTTAAGATCTTACACTAACTACACCTGCAAAGAATATTAGAGTGATTCACCATCAGAACCATATACAGATACCATCACCTTCCAACAATAGCTGTTCTGCAAACGTAACCTACAAATTAGCCAGCATAACAGCAACTTTAGTAAAAGTATCTCTTTCTTAATTTCTTTTTATTCCCTTGTAAACTAAGAAGGAAGTGCGATTCAAGTTCAAGTTCCATAAGTCTGGCATGTCAATTGATGAGTCTTTAACCATATAAAACTGTTTATCAGGGTGATCTTGCTAAATTTCAGAGGTCCGAGCTGTCTATCACAATCTAATTATCATTTCAAAACTACTTTCAACTAATTAGACATTATGACAAAGACACCTACAGTTTCTTAAACCAAATCGCTTCTTTTTACATATAATAACTAGTTCCTTACTGCACTTAATGGAATAAATGATGCAGTCATCACCTTTGCAAATCAAGTCGATTAGTCACTATATTTTCACATCATAAAAGGAAAATATCAGAATCCATCGTTAATGCTACTCTAAATGCCTGCAATTTCTTTATCTTAATTCTTTTGGTTTTACTTACAAATAATTCCTTATACCACCAAATGGCATAAACTATTTAGTCATTAAAAAAAAAAAAAAAAAAAAGGGCAACCCGGTGCACAAGGCATCCCGCGTTCACGCGGGGTTCGGGGAGGGCCGTACTCCCAAGGGTGTGATGTAGATAGCCTAATCTAATGCAAGCACTAGTGGAACCACGAATCGAACCTGTGACCTATAGGTCACACGAAGACAATTTTACCATTGCTCCAAGGCTCCCTTTCAAAGGATGTAGTCAGCATTAGTCCTAATTCAAGCTGATACTTCATGTACTTCATAGAGTGAAAGGTTATCTCCTTAGAAACTAAGTAAAAGTGCTAATATTACTTGACAGCAATATTTTCTTCAATCGAACAGATAAAAGAACCATATATCCAGGATAGTGAGCCCATACATCGAGATGAAAAGTTCATCTCTCTCTCTCTCTATCTATCTATCTATATATATATATATATATATATATCACATTTGTTTAGAAAATGGCACGTTTTCTGTTTATCTATTCAGAAAGGTACAGAGAAAAATCTGATTTTCCTCCATTTTGGGACAAACGGATGCCCCCCTGGATAATTTTGTGAACATCAAAGTATAATCTCAACTATCGTGTTAATGATTTTGCAAAGAGAATAACGGGATAACTCTAGAAAGCTAAAACCACCAACTTATTCAGAAGCGCATTAATCATAAGTGGGTAAATTAAGTAGTCTTCTTCTTCATTGATTTAATTTCTAATTTCTTAGCTAGTGATCCCATAGTTCAGAACTTAGCTTATGATGCAATTTGACATTGTTAAACCTAATTTTCCAAGTGTATGCTCACCGATCATATTGTTAACTTAGTAATTAAACCACTATGAGCTTTAATTTGCAGTTTAATTGATCCATTTCAATTATAAACAGTGAATTTTTGTTTGATTTCCATGTAATCTCATTCTACATGAATAGCAATAATTAAAATTCCATATATACATGAATCTAAGTATCATTAGTATAGATTTAATTAGAGGAAAAAAATAGAGAAAATTTCAACTGATTCTAAGGGGGAAAAGCGCGGGAAAAAACACTTACGAAGCAAAGTGAAAAATTGATTCAATAAATTAGCGAGTTACTTACATCTCTGATCTTCTCCATTGGCGCCTTCTTTCTACTATCTTTTTTTTCTGATTCTCAACCGAAGGGGTCTTCGTAAAAATGGGAGAACAGGTGGATTGATTCCATGCGACGCGGGTCTAAAGTAAAAGTTTTCACATTGGTGGAATAGTTTGACACGTGTCTCTATCTTGCGGCCCACAATTTTATATTAGCTTTTTTTTTTCGGGCTTTTTTCACTTTTAGCTCCCGCCAGAAGCTATTTACATTCGATAGCCGAAAAAATATATAAAATTTGTATTATATATATATAATAATATATATATATATATATATATATATATATATATATATATATATATATGTCGTCGCCATATTCCATATGTCACTTAGTCATCTCTGCCTCGCTGCGGGTCAGACCTCCGAAAGAAACGGAGGACTTCATTCAGTGACCCCGCGATCGCCCTCTGAACGATCAGAATAAGGTAAAACTTGAAGATAAGTTTTGTACTCAATTAATTTCTCAGTCCCTCTAGTCGGGTGGGGGCAGGCCAATTTTTCGACCAGATCCCCCTAAAAACCGTACGTGCGGTATATATACATATATATATATATATATATAAAAGTTATATATTTTTCGACTATTATATAGTATTATTTTTCCTTTTTCCATGTTAGAAAAAACCCACTGCATCCCTTCCCTGCAAGTTTTTCTTTACCCTTTCCTAGAAGCTTTTAATTTTACTCGGTGACCTGGACCAACAATCTTTTAAAATTAGAGGTGAAGGATGCTTATCATACTCGGCAACCATCTCTTGTTAATACGTTTTCAGTTTCAACGTTGAGAAAATATCTTTCACAAAAAATCGAGGATATTTTTGCTCTTATTAAAAAAGAAGTAGCTGTAAAGATGCAATTTATTGGTTCTTTACCAAGTACAGTATAAATCATATAGTATAAATGGATATTGCACTCTTGATCTCTCAATTATTGATAACTTCTGATTTTGATCTTTATGATATTCCAATAAGCATACTTAATCTTTAATAAATCAAGAAGTGTGCCTTGGTTTCCTTTACAAAGGAAATATGTCCTATTTAGATTATTTATAAATCTCTATTATTATTCTCAAATACAGAATTAAAGTGCACATTTCAAGTAATTGAAGACTAATGCGCTTAACCAAATATCACAAGGACTAGAATAATAATTTATCAATTTCATAAGGGCTAAAAGTGCTAATACCAATGGTAAAACTACAATTTTAAGTTTGTTAACTTTAGAAGAAAAAATTGAAATTATACGTATAGCTAAGTATAAAGTAAATGCTTTATACTTTTAGGAATAAAGCATTATCTCAAAATTATCTTCCCATTATGGAAAAAGCAAGAAAAGATAAAAAGTTTTCTTTCCCAATGCTCTCGGTGTAAGTTAGTCTAACCTACCCGGTGTGACAATGGCAGGGGCGAGACGCAGGGGTGGTGGCCAAGGAAGAGGCCGAGGCCGACCACGGAATGTGCCGATCAACAATTTTTAAATTACAGCTGAAAACGATGAAGATTCAAAGGAAGATGAGGAAGATGTGATAAGAACACCACATGCAAACAAGGGATCTGCAACTAGGACTCACGTAGAAGCTTCAGCTGGGAACAACAAGTCCCAGTTGAGGTCAGTTGTAGCTTTGAAGGAACGGGATCTAGGAAGGGAAGCAACTAAAGTGATAGAGGTCAACTCACAGCCGCAAACCAATGGAACAGTAACACTAGCCGAAGAGAGCAAGGAAGAGTCAAAGATGGAGGAGAAGTCAGCATGGGCAAGCTTATTTTCGAAGAACAGAGCAGCAGAAAACGGTATGAAACTAACCTATATTCCACCGCAAGTGGTTAATGGACAAGTTATTGTTCAATTGGATAAGGAAGAGGTTGATGTAGAAACGGAAAAATGGAAAGGGACTCTAATTGCATATGTACTGGGAGATTTACCAAGATATAATGTAATGAAAAGGTATATAGAAGCTAATTGGAACTCAATTCCACATCTAGATCTATATATGCATGAGGATGGTTATTACATCATCAAATTTAAGACGATGGATGATATGCAGGAGATTTTGTTTGCTGGACCATACACAATCAATAATAGACCTATTATTCTTAAACAATGGACAACTGATTTTGATTTTGAGAAGAAGTTCCCCACTGAAATTCCTCTATGGATTAGAATTTCCAAAACTTCCACTGAACTGCTAGGGTGTGAACTTACTAAGTAGAATAGCAAGTACAATTGGCATGCCTATGTATGCTGATGAGTATACTGCTAAACAATTGGGAGTATCCTATGCTAGGATGCTAATAGAGGTGGATGTGACAAAACCTTCGAAGGATGAAATAACTGTTGAAGATTCAAATGGGAGGACCTTCTTGCAGCCAATTAACTATGATTGGAAACCAAAATTCTGTGAAACATGCCAAGTCATTAGGCATAACTGCAAACAAGAAGGGAAAAGACAGAATCAATATGGTGCAACTATGAATGAGAAGAGAAATCCAAAGAAGATAGTGCAACAATGGGTGACTAAAGAGAAAGGAAAGACTAAACAAGCAGAAGAACAGGAACTAATCATGCAACAACAGGAGACTATAAGGGTAATGGAAGCAGGACAAGGTTCAAGTGTGATAAAGATGAATATGCCAGTATTGCATGAAGATCAAACACCAAAGTTTATGAGTAAAAGTCAAGAGATGGAGAGGACAAGTCCAGAGTTTAATGATATCAATTTTCCAATGATTGATTTAGTTCCACTAAGGAATGGGTTTTAAATACTGAGTAGAGAGGGAAATTGTGCTTACATTGTACCTCCTGATATAAGAGGTAAGTCAAAGAGATCAATATGAATTGGCTAGTGTGGAATATAAGGGGATTTAATAAAAGATCAGAAAGAAGTGAAGAAAATTCTGAAAACAAAAAAAATAGGAATAGCTGCTATTGTTGAAACAAGGGTCAAGAAGAACAAAGCTGGAATTATTACTAGAAATATAGCCACGGGATGGAATAGTTTGTATAATTATTCATCTGCTAAAAATGGGAGGATATGGGTACTATGGGACACAAACAACTATCAGATAGTTAAGTTGATGGAGACTGCTCAGATGATGAATTGTGAAGTTACAGGAAGAGCATATCAGATTGACTGCTTGGTGACTATCATATATAGTTTCAATACAATTGAACAAAGGAAGGGGTTATGTGAAGATATTAGCTCAAGGCATTACAAAACCTTGGCTAGTGATAGGTAATTGTAATGCAATACTCTGTTCAGCAGACAGAGATCAGGGTAATCCAGTACATCAAACTGATATTCAAGACTTTGTTGATTGCATTCAGACAGCTAATATAAATAAATTGATATGGAAAGGTGATTACTATACATGGACCAATAAACAAAGAGTGGAAGATAGAATTCAAAGCAGAATTGATAGAGCATTTGGGAATTATGAATGGATGATGAAATGGGGTAATATAGTAGTGGAATATGAATTGCCAGGGATATCAAATCATGCACCAATGTTGCTGACCAGGGGAGATGAGGAGAATAACACTAAGTGTCAATTTAGGTTCTTTAATATTTGGGCAGAGCACAAAGAATTTGATCAAATAGTAGAAGAAACTTGGAAACAAGTTAAAGACCCTTGGCTCATGAGGGGAATATGGAGAAAATTGAAAACATTAAGAACCAGACTGAAGATATTGAACGATAGGGAATTCAGAAATGCTGAACAGAAAATGGAAGAAGAAAGGAATGAGATCAGAAGAGTGCAGAGCCAGATGCAACAGAATTATACTGATACTATCCAAGAACAAGAGAGAAATGCATTACAAAAATTAGAAAAGTGGTCAATGATTGAAGAGAGTATTATGAAGCAGAAGGCAACGGCTAAATGGATACAGCTGGGGGATGCAAACACTAAGTATTTCTCAGCAGCAATGAAGGAAAGAAAGCACAGAAAACAAATAAAGGAACTGATAGCTATGGATGGAAAGAAGATAAACAAACCAGGTGAGGTTAAAGAGGAGATAATTAGATTCTATAAGAGTCTAATGGGCAAAGTAGCAAAAAGACTTACAGCAGTAAATAGAACAGTAATGAAGAAAGGGCCAATACTGACTCAAGAACAAAGGCTGTTGCTATGTACAGAAGTTACTAAAGAGGAAGTGTTTGAGGGGCTAAAAGGAATAGGAGATGATAAGGCTCAAGGGATAAATGGATATAACGTTGTGTTTTTCAAAAGAGCATGGCACATTATAGGTAGTGAGGTGACTACAGCAATACAAGATTTCTTCTCAACAGGAAGATTATATAGAGCCATTAATTGTACAGCCATCACTTTGATACCCAAGATAGATAATCCAGCAACAATCAAAGAGTATAGACCAATAGCATGTTGCACAGTGCTATACAAACTGATTTCAAAGATCTTGGTAGCAAGAATGCAGAAGGTAATTGAGGGGATTATATGTGAGGCACAAGCTGGTTTTGTCCCAGGTAGGAAAATAGGTGATAATATTATATTGGCCCATGAACTAGTAAAGGGATACACAAGAAAACATATATCACCAAGGTGCATGATTAAAATAGACGTACAGAAGGCTTATGATTCAGTAGAATGGAGCTATTTGGAACAGAATATGAGGTTGCTAGGATTTCATGAAAGATTTATAACTTGGGTGATGGAATGTGTTAAAACAGTGAACTATACTATTATGGTGAATGGAGAGCCAACTGATCCTTTCAATGCTGAGAAGGGACTATTTCTATTTGCAATTGCAATGGAGTACTTAAGTCGAACCTTAAAGGAAATGGCAGAGAGGAAGCAGTACCATTACCATCCCAGATGTGCCAAATTAAAACTAACTCATTTATGTTTTGCACATGATCTTTTAATATTTTCCAGAGGAGATGTTGAATCAGTAACTGAGGTTCTTCAAAGTTTTAATCAATTCTCAGATGCCTCAGGATTGCAAGCAAACATAGGGAAAAGCTCCATTTATTTTGGAAGGGTGGTACAACAAGACCAAGAGCAGATACTGCAAACACTGGGATTTACGA